TTATATAATACTCGAATACTTCTTGACATATATAACTCAACTCACCCATCAACAAAATCTTTTTCCCGATGGATATGAACAAATGTCCAAACATATTAATAAAACAGTGGTGCATCAATTTAAAAGTTTAAATGAAGACCAATTTAGGAAAAACCGAAAAGATTAGAATCAGGTGTTATATTTAGCCAAATTATTAAAAAATATCTTAAGCATTGCCCTTTCTCTAAATAAGAAATGGGAGTTGGGAGTTCAAAATAAGAAATTCCTCATCTTTAATATGAAAAGAAAAATTGAATTTATCCCAAAAACATTTAATATTGCTACTCAAACTTTTATGGAAAGATTGGCATTAGGAATCCAAAGACCTCAGATGATTAGATATTCCTCATCTTTCAGCTGAAAACTCCATTAACTAAACAGAGACTTGCAGAATGAAGAACAGAATTGATGGGTGAGACAATCATAACCAGTACAGAGTTTTATCATTAAGATGGTGGGAGGAATACAGAGTCTAGAATTTCATCAATTCTGAGCTTACATTGATAAACAACACAGAAGATGATCCTAAAAGCCAAAGTACATACAAATGGGGGACGAACAAGTCAAGTTTTTTGAGAGGAAATCTAAGCCTTCTTCGGGGATTTTGTTGCCTTGGTGACCTTTGATGGGGATTTTGGTTCTTTCGTGACTGCCTTCTCACTTTTCTTGGGCAACAGCACTGGATTAATGTTTGGAAGAACACCACCATGCGCAATCGTTACACCAGCAAGCAATTTCCCAAGCTCCTCATCGTTCCTTATGGCCAGCAATACATGCCGAGGAATTATCCTGTTCTTCTTGTTGTCTCGGGCTGCATTTCCAGCCAACTCCAGCACCTAATTTCCCCCCGTTTGTCAAACATTAGAGAAAAAGGAGATGGAATCCGCAGAGGATTTTGCAGGGGAAAAGAGTTTCGAAATTGAAATTTCAGTTGACTTCCCAAGAAATAAGCTGCTGAGATTGCTAAGAATGGAAGAAAAACCTTCCCCCACGAACCCTAGGATTTCGATCATGCTCGGTCAATCCAACAATGGAATTGAGTTGAATTTAACAGCCCAAACAATATTTGAGTTCTCCAGACTACAGTAATCACATCGAATAGTGAAATTGAACAACTGCGACTCAATTTGACAAGATCTTTAACTTGAACTTGAAAATTCAGTTCTTTTAAAATTTTCCTAATTGTTTACCGGGAAACAAAGAGCCAATTAAGGAGTTTAAAAAGCCTAGTTCATAAATAAAACCCGAAGCCCTAAGTAGCAAACATAAGCCTAATCCACATCAAACAGAAACACAGATCTGAGAGAGCAAGAACAGTGAAAGGGAAAAGAGAGGGATAGCAGGTACCTCGGCGGCGAGATACTCGAGAACGGCGGCCAAGTATACCGGAGCTCCGGTTCCGACACGTCGAGCATACCTCCCATTCTTCAAGTATCGACCGATCCTACCGACAGGAAACTGGAGGCCGGCCTTGACGGAACGTGAAACCGGCTTCTTCTTCGGGCCGCCGCCCTTTCTCCCTCCTGCTCCCTTCTTCAACTTCCCGCCGGTCTCCATCGGAATTTGACCCCGTCGCCGGAAAATCAAACGCAGTTGCAGTTCAGTTGCAGGGATTAGAGAAATATCGGGGGCTCCCTGGATATAACAATGTCAAGGTTTGGTGTTGCGGGAATGATTATATAGAGCGGTATAAACTACGGGCATTTGGGGATGGAGGCGGATTCAGAAATGGGTGCTCGTTCGACCGTACGATACGGTTCAATCAACGGGTGTGGATGGACTGTATACCGATCCGCGTTATTCAAAATGGACCAATCAGAACAAAGGATATTTTTAATATTTTGGTTTTATTATAGAACAGGTTAATTGTGTGCTGATATTATTTTTAAATTAAAACAATAATAAACATTAATTTATTTTATTACTATTTTAATGGTTGTGAATATTTTTTACTTTAGGAATTTATTTAATATTAACAATTGATAAATTATTATAATTAAATTACATCAAATAAAAAATAATATAATTTTTATTAGAACAATAATCATTAAAGTATTATTAAATTGTTTTTGTTATAATATTTAATAATAATAAATTGTATTTTAACAAATTTATCCATGAAATGGTAAACTTTGTAAAGGACTTATTAAAAATGTGTCGAACCCACCAATTAAAGAATGAGAATAGCATTGATGTAGTTGTATTGATGTAGTTGTAGGAGAGGAATAATGAGACATATAACCTTTCATATTTTTATAAGATACTTTCGTGGTTTAAATTGTGTAACTAAATAATATTTATTATTATTTTTTGTTTGATAGGACTTTTTTAATGTAGTCATTTAAAAAAGTTCTTATTGATAAACGACTACCTCAATTATGCTTGAGACTTCCATTATTTAAGGTGAACCCCTACAACAGTAATAATAATAATCCCAATAACTATATGATTAATCAACTCCAAGAAAGTTAAACAAATCTTTCCTTAGCAAGAAGAAATAATGAAAACGTGTTCCTATTTTCAAGATCTCGATCTATCTACAGCCTAATTCATGAAACTAGATTGAAAGTTCTAAAACGTGCATTCTAAACCCAAGAATACAAAGAAAGCATAAAACTTGAGGGAGACTAAACTTAATCTGAAATTTCATTCATCAAATGTTGTCTTTGATGGAAAAGTATACATCACTATTTATATTAATTGAAAAGATACAACTCTTGGTCAAATTAATCAAAATCAGCCAACGCCCCTTCACATTTATACATGAATCTTCTTAAATAAAAATACATCATTTAGCTTTTTGGATGAATGGGTGCCTTATTAATTTTGAATGGATGCATAGTTTCAATATTCAATATATTATCTCTTCTAAAAAAATTATTGATTGATTAGATTGTTGGGTGTGTTGCCCTAAACTCGTAGTTTGTATTTATGTAACATAACGTCTCGAGTTTTTCAGAATATTTTATTTTAAGATTTAAATTTTGCCTTTGGATTTTCCCTAAGCTAATAATTTAAATCCTTGGATTTTCTAATTTGGAGTTCTAATTTTGAGTAAATTAGAATTAAGTTTAATTTCGTTAAGTAAGATAAATTAAGTTTTTGAATTTTGGAAAGAGATTTTATTTAAATATTAATTCAAGGTTTTGGAAATTTAATTTTCCCTTTTGGACTCTATTATCGGGTTTTAAATATAAGTTAATCTCTTAAATAAATTTTCAAATCCTTTTTAAAAGTGAGTTTTCTTTTTTAAAATGGATTGAGAAAATCCTCCTTATTTATATGGCTTTAAGCATTATTTTGTTATATTATTTTTGGAAGAAGAAAAGAGAAATAAAATCAAACAAAAGAAAACTTTAACTC